GCCGACACCGGCACATGACGCTGTTGCACAATCAACACCCATGCCGCCGCGACCATGCCGAGTAGATAGCTCAATCAAGAACATTGATACTGACATCGGCACACTCGGATACAGACTTGCTAGACCCACAAAGCGGGACTGCTCGTCACACGTCAGATATCACGCCGGAAATAACACCCAGTTTGCACACAGTATGCTCCAAACGCCGTTTTGGAAGCATCGGCAAACACAGCCATTACCGGAGGACGAAGCACCACATTGTACATCGGTGCACACAACTGGCCGCCACGCGACGCCAGACCTCGCTGCGCAAACCAGCGCCAAAAATCCAAATCATCGTGAAACATGGGCCCCAACACGACACGCCAATTGGGGTTAGAAACACGCGAGGGAAACACTTCGGACTGCGGAGAAACGTAACAGCAGAAAACAACCCTTGGCCACCACACGCACACGTGCTCTCGCTCGCCCCCGGTNACAGCAGAAAACAACCCTTGGCCACCACACGCACACGTGCTCTCGCTCGCCCCCGGTAAACACGGCGAAGCGAGTAGACTGAAAACAGAACACCAACACGCTCGTCCGCTTCCTGCTTTCTGATTGGCCTAGGTTTATTTCTGCCGCTTCTCACAAAACGCAGATTTCCTTTACTTCGTCAGACAATCTTTCGCTTGTCTTCATACTCCCTCCATATGTTGTTCCGCGTGTGTTTGAATCTGCATTTGCACAACAAGTACAGCAGTATAATAGTCTAGATATGCTTGGCGCGTGCACTTCCTTGTTGTTGTTGTTGTTGTTGTTGTTGACTTCACATTAAACCGTATGCCAGTTGCTAAATGCCAAAATCTAGCAAAGACTCTCAGCCCGTGGTCACGAAAGTGCTGGAGCCATCTGAGGATCTAAAGAACACGCAAACGTAGCAAGAAAAAGGTGTACAAGAGCCCGAAGAGGTACTACTACACCTATAGATAATCCCTGCAGCACCGTACGCGTGCCCAAAACTGAACTACACGTCCGTCTCACCGTTCGACTACAGCAACATCACCCCCTACTTGTCCCACTCTGTACCAAAACGAATGATTGCCGACTACAGCATACTTGCTGTCTGAAGTGCTGTCTGTACAAAAACACCATGGTAG